GAAGGGTACACATCTCGCCCTTTGCGTGTAACTTCCTTGATGGCGTCACTGTTTTACCCTTTTTTGCCGTAAACAGTCTGTACCTTACCCATAACACTAGAGATATATGGGTAAAATAAACAACTAATTACTGTATTTTCCTTCGTCTTTATTTTCTGAAAATGTCCTGCAGAAAACGTAAGAGATGGCATTTCCGAGACCCCAAATTTAAAAATTTCCAGACCCCCCAGGTTTGGGGCGCCTTCGGCGCACTAACGTTTCTTCCCCTGCGTGCACCTTCAAAGTCTCACGCTACGCTGCCAACTACCGGTATCTTATAGCTTATGAAATCAATGCCCAAGGATGGACGAAGAAACTCGGTCTAGAAGGGGTTGGAGTGGGGAACGGGGAGGGGGCACGTGCATTTTAAAAATTGTTGTTGCCAAAGGGGGTTACAATTTTCATTTGTAATTATTTTGTTGGGGGATAAAGTTTTGATACAACACACTTTTCTGAAAGCCCCCGCCACCCCCCACCCCCCAGCCCCCCCCCGCCAATAAACGATCGGTCCCTAACTTCTTCACCGGAAGTCTGCTAGGTGCATGACCGCGTTAATAAATTGCGCACGACGAGATCTCAGCTCCACTTCCTTTATTTCCTCTACCTGTCTACAACAACACTTTCCTTATGTACAGTTAACTCTGCACCTTCTCTAGCCACTAGCATCATTCAGTACACTCCTTTACAAAACTTGCTGAAAATGCACAATCTCCACGTGGAAGATAATTCAAATACAACATCGCAGCAACAAGCTTTAATAGATTATTACGTGAAAAGCAATGACACGCAATACAAAAACAAGTATGAGAACACCTACTCGTACCCATCCTCTCTCGATTGGAAACTGGGCAATACTTTCGTGACGTCTTGAGGAATCGCGTGATGTCTTTAGCCGGCCACTGAAAGAAAAAACATAAGTCGTATCGTTGTCCACAAGTGTCACTGCGCAGAGCGATCATGGCTGTTCAAACTAACTGGCAAATAACAAGATCCACCGTCAGAGAGAGAACCAAATTTATGTTCAATAATGAACACTTGAGCGATGTGAAGTTCGTCGTTCGAGGCAACGACGGCGAAAGTGAAAGAAATCGATCGATCACTGCTCACAAGTTTGTGCTTTCCATTGGTAGTCCTGTGTTTGAAGCCATGTTTTACGGTGAGCTAGCGGAGACTAAAGACACTATTCAACTGCCTGACTGTGATTACGAGAGTTTGTTGGAGTTGTTTCGTTACCTGTACAGCGATGAAGTAAACTTAAGCGGAAGTAGTGTACTGGGAGTACTCTATTTGGCCAAGAAGTACATGGTTCCTTCCCTTACTGAAAAATGCAAGGATTATCTGCAAGATAAATTGGATCCTTCGAACGTTTTCACCATCTTGCCAACTGCCCTGAAATATGAAGAGAAGAACCTGGTTGATCGATGTTGGAAAGTAATCGAAAGTCAGACTGAACAGGCTTTGAAATCAGATGGATTTGAGATGATCGAGAAGACCTTGCTTGAAGCTTTGGTCCAACGAGAAACGCTGGAGATCAGAGAAGTGGAGCTGTTTAAAGGTTGTGATCGGTGGGCAATTAAGCAATGCAGAAAGCAGGGCTTAGCAACTGATGGTGAACTAAAAAGAAGAGTTCTTGGCGAGGAAATTATTAAAGCAATACGCTATGGAGTGATGAAGCAAGAGGAGTTTGCTGGTGTCGTTCTTGATGCAAAAATTCTTACTCCGGATGAAATTGTCACTTTTTTTAAGTTTTTTAGTTCACAAGAGATCTCTCTGCCTTTAGGGTTCTCGGAGACTCGAAGACGCTCATGGCTTCACCGTTGTGGAAGGTTTACCCTGATGCAAAGAAGTTCTTGGGATTGTAACGGATTAAGTAGGGATGTTATTGAATTTAAAGCGGTTATTTGGCAGTGAGAGCAACTTATACATCTTAGATGCATTAGAGTTATACCAAGGCAGCCCATATTCAGTGTTTGAATCACCGGTACGTTTGGTGAAATTGGAACGTTCAACATATCCTTCAAAGCTATTAGAATCATGCCAAAATTTTAGCTATCATGGATTAGAAGTTCTGTTTAACTCTAATCCTTCCTTGAAACAGAACACTCTATACCATATTAGCGTCTTAATTTCTGGAGCGAAATCTGGAAAGGGATGCAAAGGCTTAAAAAGTGTAAAAATAGCTGGCGTGACATTTACATTTTTAACTCCACCCACCCCCACTAGGTATGCCCTTGGGGACAGAAATAGTGTGGAGCAAGGCCAGTTTGCTGAATTCTTGTTTTCTCTTCCCAACTGAGAGAGTCTTTTATTTGGACCAACCCATACACCATTATACCACATACTGTGTAACCATAACCTGGGTTACAGCTGGCCCCTGCATCATCTAGACTACTGGGCCAAGTTGTTTAAAGATGGGTTGAGATAACCCACGGTTAGTGCGTGATTTGAATTCAGATTTGAAAGCTTAAAAGGCTTTTCAGTTTTAGTTCTTTTTGTCTACAAGTTGCTGATTGGAAGCTCTAAAAATAGCACAGAAAATTATTCAAGAAAATGCTTTTGAACACAAGAAAAAGAAACCCAGGTTATTTAACCCTGGGTTAAGCGCTAATCAGCCTTCGAACAACTGAGCCCTGGTGTACATGTATATACAGTGGTTTAGAGAGAGATCTAACCCTGCGTAAGGATACCTGCTTTTAATACTGGGAGGTTAGACAAGGATATGTGGTCAACTTTTTCAGCCACAATATCGAAACAAGTGGGTGAGAATTACTAGTAAAACAAGACGGACGATTTTCCATTATTGTATGCCCGCAAACTGTTTAGACCTGTGTGTGCTCAACTTGTAAGCAAAGCTAAATAGAGATTAGACTAGGTTTTAAAGCTGCTAGAATTCCAAGGAGAAAAACGAGCTTCTATAATTTAAGTTGGAAGTGCAGTAACCTTGGATAACTTTTATAGATCTTTTTGCTAGAGTTATCAGAATTAAATGCTAGTTTCTTGTTCAACTTATGGATGGGCATGGTTTTTTTTTGTGGGCAATACTTTGATTTAGTTGTCCTAGTACAAGAAAGGATATTGGGGGAATGCGGGACCCATCACCAACTTGGCAAATTAAGTACAGCATTTAACATAACAAGATTACTTGTTATTCTAGCTAACTTTGAAACTTTGGTTAAACCCCGTGTAACTATTCAAATGAACCACTTTGCATGGTAGAACTTTTGCGTAGTACGTACCACTCATTTCTCAGGATTTTACAAAAACATGTTGTTGTTGTTGCTGTTGTTAACATTTAGAGCAAGGAGCCCGAAAGTGTGACCACTTTTGATTTATTCACATTCTTTTGTACAGATTTAATCCAATCAGGAGCCAGCTGGAAACGGTCCTCGACTTCTGATTGGATAATGTCTACATGAAAGAATACTTTTGAGCTCCTTGCTGTAAGTGAAAGGGTTAATATAGACCTTATTGTCACACAGATAAATTGAGTGTGATCTAAGAATACATTTGCTTTCAAAAACCTCTCTCAGCCTCAAGCGGTAAGGACCCGCAGACCAACAATAAGGAAAGTGTGAAGATGTGTTTTCACTGTAATGTCACAAAGCTCTCAAAACAAGATGTTTGATTGACTATACAGAACCCAAAAAATTCCCCTTACTCTAAAACAATATCAGGTGTGTTTCCAAAGGACAATAATATGGAATGTAGAGGTTTCTTAGAGAGCTATGTGGCTACAGACAATAGAGACAAAGCTTCACCTAATTTGTAAGCTATCTCACAAAATGAGATTTTTTATAACCAAATATTGAAAGACAATATTTTATTCTTTCTATTTTTTACTTAAGCCTCAGAGGTTTTTTCCTATGTACTATCCTGTTTTTTGGAACTGAGACATAAATTGACCTTGAACATAGACTGCAGTGCTAATTTGTAAATAAATAAGCATTTTAATGACCAAAATTGCTATAAATAACAGTGCAGGTGACAATGTGACTAGAAAGTACACTGCTTGCAAACAGCTTGGCTGTAATGTATGAATATCAATCTAGATAAATTACAGCATAAAAATAAGCAGCTGCTTTTGCTTAAAGTTTAAAACTTCAGCGGGTCTGTCAACTATGAGCATTCTCTCTTTTTTCTTACTGCACCGAGCGAACCGCCGAGAAATGAAAATGACAACTCTTGCACGGGCATGCATTCCCCTCACTAAATCTGAGAAGAAGAGAGACTGCTCTAGGTTTAGCAGGTTTGGATTGTAGCTGTACCATTTTTTCACTTATTGATGATTAACATTAATATCATCAAGACAAAAACTGATTTGAAATCAATGGAAGTTGATTGGCTTTAAGATCTTCATGTTAAAATACATAATTTATACTTAAAGCTATAAATATTTCATCTACTGTACATCATAATTAGGAAACAGGTATGTTCATATATACAATTTACACTTTGACTGAATTCATATTTTAAAAAATAGTGATAAGATTTGCTTAAAATATTAGCAAGGCCAAAGTAGATTCTCGCTCCGCTAAAATTTCATTAAAATTTTTACGACCATGACAGACTTGTTAGAAGCTTGGACTGTTACCTGTAATCCTTGATTAACTACAGAAGAGAATGCATGAGCTGTTATGGCAACTGACCTTAATTATCCTTTAAACAACCCAGCCAAAATCACTAAAAAATAGCTTAACTAATTATTGTAAAATAATAATAAATTATTGCAATTCAATTGGTTTGATGCAAATATTGCTGTGTCACATGATTAGAAAGGAATTGAAAGGGTCTAACAATATTATTATGTTCATTTATACATCTTAAAAAATTTCATTGTGAAAAGGGTGACAAGTGAAAAACAAAAATGTGATAAACTTTCACTTTGGATGTTAAGAAAGTGTAAACTGGCTAAGGTATAATTCTTAAAAAATAATGTAAACTCTGGATCAAGTCTGATTGGCCTAATCATCTTGGGGCGGTAATTGTGGCAATGGGCGTCTAACAATGGGAGGTAGGCTGTCGGGGGAGTTTGCTTTAGGTTTCTTCTTCTTCTTTTTCCTGGGTGTAACAGCATCAACAGTATCCTGTCCAGTACTAGCATTTTCTCTGTTGACTGCAGTAAGTTCATAATCTCCACTGTTCAATGTCTTTGTATTTGCATCTTCACTCACCTTGGTCTTTTTCTTTTTCTTTCCCTGAGAACTGGGAACAAGTTCTTCTACTTGGTCATTAAAAGTTACCATGGGAACCCTCCTAGGTCCCGGATTAAAAGATAACAATTCACTCTGATGTTGATTGCTTGAACTTGTCTCTTGAAGCTGTGATGTGATTACGCCAGCTGGCTGTTTAACCTCTACTCGAGGGGAAGTAGGTTGGGGTGTAATTTCTTTAAGGCTCTCCTCTGAAGATGATGCACATTCTGTAATTCCTTGGGGTGAGTAATGAGCCGTATCAGGGCTTGTGATAACTGAATAATCCTGTTGCTGTAGGGTATCTTCTTCTACACTGGATCTGTTCTGCTTGGCAGCGGCCTGATGTAAAAGTAGAGTAAAGACATAAGACATAAGATGACTGGAGTGGTAGGGTTCTACAAGACACCCCCCATCAAAAGTTGGTCCAAAAACCTAAGATAAGCATGGAATACAGACAAACTGCAATGACACACTATTCTTATTGTGCTGGCATGTCTGCATAATATTCCAGGAAATCAGTGTCCCATCAAGTCAATCGATCTGTAAACATGTCAATCTGCTAGCTTAATAGATGTTTCAGCGTAGCAGCCTTTATGACTATCAGCTTGTTAAACAATTAGCCCTGTCACTTGGGGCATTCTTGGAAAAGAAAGGGTTAAATTAGCAAGGTTTTGTAAATCTGGCTCCTTGACAATATAACTAACCATGAATTGTACTCACTTCGTATATTTCTCTGTAAAATGTACAGGGTTCGACAGTATTATTAATGAGCAGGTAAATTTTCAGTTACTTTCATAACGGTATGATAAGTCAAGCACTTCGTAAGCAGACAGTTTCAAAAGAACTTTCTTGACCATGATTGATCGCCTCCTAGGACTAATATATGACTCACCTTAGAGCTGACTTCATTAATAAACTTTACAGTTGTTTCATTTGGTAGAGTATCATCAGACCCTTCAGAAGCACCATGATCACTTATTTCAATTCTGAAATGATGAATAAAAGAAACTTTGCAAAAACCTGTGTTAGCCAACAGCAAGGGGTGGAACCCTTGCTTGTGTCAAGTTAATAGAGATATCCGCTTCTTTTTTTTTAAGGTTTGTAGGTTCATTTTACCCAAAAAATTATGGGAAAAAATGTTTGGGGCTAGTTGAGGCTGCATGGTGCCTATCAGCGGAGCTAAAATACAGATCACTTTTCCACAGGTCAGAGTATGGGTCACCATGATACAGATAAATGAACAGCCAAAAGAATGTCTCCTAAGCCTAATCTTTTAACAAAAATTAATGCTCTATTTGATCGAGGGGAATCTATGTGGTTTGGTAATTTATTGATGGAGCAGTGACCTGTACTCTTGACCTATGGAATGTCACCTGTGCTTTAGACCTGCCAGTATCCACCCCAATTTTCTGGCCATGCCAGAGGGAAATGAATTATTTATAATAATGATTGATACATGAGAAGACACACAGGGCTTGCACTGTAAGTATCCCAGAGAGCTTCATACAATTCCTTATAATTTTGTTACAAGGAATTGTATGGAGCTTTCGAGGAGACTTTTCTTAATTAGCTTAGGCGCGGCGGATTTTGTCACGTATGATCAGCGCGAGGTGTTTCTCCCGACACCTTTCTGTCAGGAAAATGTCATCATATGAAAACAAAACAGACCGATCGCGTCGGCAGGCCGAAGCAGGCAAAAATTAAAGACTTTTCTTCTTCCATTTCAGAGGTCAGTTTTGTTTCGATCTTGTTTCGATCTGGCTTCGCATTTTGTTCATCGCTGCATGCGATTTTTGCTTATAACCTAACAGAAAATGTAAATGTACCTGAAGGAAATACCTTGTATTACCTTACCTTAACGCTGTGATGTGTGTAAATTTGTCTTTTGCTATGGTTTTAGACAATACGACTTCCCCTGACTATCAATTGTGCGTCAAAACAAGCGCGATAATGAAATAGTCGAAGTGGCATGGTGTAGCTTTTTATGACAAAGTTTTAACTGGAAAACTTGTAACCATCTGATGTACACCTGTATAGTCTATGTTTGTAAGCTCTGCCTAAAGAATCACTGGGTTACACTGCACCCATGGGTGTGCCACCTAAAGTGCAGCCAATGTTTGTTAGCTCTACCCAAAGAATCACTTGGTTACACTGCACCCATGGGTGTGCCACCTAAAGTGCAGCCTATGTTTGTTAGCTCTACCTAAAGAATCACTGGGTTACACTGCACCCAAGGGTGTGCCACCTAAAGTGCAGCCTATGTTTGTTAGCTCTGCCTAAAGAATCACTGGGTTACACTGCACCCATGGGTGTGCCACCTAAAGTGCAGCCTATGTTTGTTAGCTTTACCTAAAGAATCACTTGGTCAAACTGTACCCATGGGTGTGCCACCTAAAGTGCATCCTATGTTTGTTAGCTCTACCTAAAGAATCACTGGCTTACACTGTACTCACGGACGTTTGCCTCGCGCTCTCTTCAAAGACAAAAAAGCTATAGTCTGTTTGGCCAAAAATCAAGCTTTGTTTCCCCTAAAAATTTGACACCATATTAGGGCCCCGAAAGACGTTAAAAGTTCCTCCATTATAGAAGAGTGTTTTGCTAGCCAAGAGTTAACAAACGTTTGGCTTACATGAGTTTCAATGTAAAGGTGCAAAAACTTATCAGCATAATTATAGCACAAAAACATTGTCATCAAACTCCTGGAATGTAGCCTGAATAAGCCAAGCAAATATGAATAAAGCATATAACGAGAAATATTCGCCAAATGGTCTCGTTAAGTAAATTATACTTCACTTTGCGAAAGAAATTTATCACTTGTATCCGTGTTACGCATCGAAAAAGCGAGGAGTCATCGCATGACATTAGGTAACAGAGGTAATACTCACGAGTTTCACGAATTCCAATTCCACGATTTTTTGGCGAGTAACAGATTTAAAACTTCAATTCTTACCTTAGAGTGGTTGGTTCATTTACCTTACATTGGCCAACACTAATAAACATGAACAAAACGATGAAATCCGGCACTCTTCTTTCAGAATTAGCAAGCCGCATGAAGTAAAATCCACCGATATGCGCTGCATTCTCACTACAAATATATTAAACATTAATTTTGTCCTGAAGAAAATACAACAAGGAGGAAAAAATGCCAGATCTTCGCCCTGGCAATGTATTCCAGCTACCAAGCCGGCATATCTCCAGAAGGTGGACTCGAAGTGGGACAAACCTTGTGATTTTTTTAGGAGCCCTTTGCGTGCAAACTAATTTATTCTGGCGCGAAATGAAGATTAAGAAAATGTATCTGAAATCTAATACACGACAAGAAAATTTTCGCACTTTCGAGGAGCGCGACATATTAAATGGGATTAAGTCGGATTAGCTGCCCGCGGAGAAAACATCCCTGCGTGGGATGGTACTTCCAGTAAAAAGCCTCTGTGTCCTCTCATGTTAAAGTCAAATGATTATATTTAGAATACTTGGCTTTACAGCACCATATTTGTAACCTCACCTTTGAGGTTCATTATTCTCTCTCCTCTCTTCTTCAGGCTTTACTTTATTCTACAAGAGAGAAAGTTAAATTTTTTTTATTATATTGCAAGGATCAAATTGCCAATGAAGGGCAGTCACTAAGATTTCTAGTTTCCAGCTTTAATGTCCATTTTTTCCCTATGAAGCGAGTGATCATGCTCAAAGAAGCCAAGGAAAAATCCCTGCTCCCCCCGTCCTCCCAGTCGTGCGTGACAGCCCTGCCAATGAAATTGGAGCCAGCAGGACGGAGTGGTCAGCACATTGGACTTTGCCCTGATCACTGACTTGATTTGAGTATAAGTATAATCACCTCCTTGATCATGCTTGATAACATACCCAACTGATAAACCTCCAGCCAGTTGGCGTTCACACTATTATATTATGCTTAATCAGGGTTCATACTTTTTTGAGTTCTTCACGTTCCATGACTTCAACTGACTTCTTGAAATAGGCCCTTTGAAGCCAGCCATTCACGTGGTACAAAACCCCCACGTTGGAGAGCAAAAGTTGCACTGGGACAAGACAAACAAAAGACATACATAATTTGAAATGGTAACTTTCTTTGTTTGTCTTGTCCCAGTGCGACTTTTGCTCTCCAGCACAGCGGTTTTGTACCACGTGAATGGCTAGCTGCAAAGGACCTATTTCCTGTTTTCCATGACCCCTGCTAATTATCATGTGAGGGTCTGTGACAAAATCATGTCCTTGGTTAAGGATGAAACAAACTGAAAGTCACTTTCTTGCAAACCCACCTTAAACATTTTCTTATTTGACTGTTTACATGAAGAGGGTTTATCTGTACCAGCCTCCACATCAGAAGCTTCAGATCTTTGCTCTCGAGAACTCACTATGAATTCATATGTTGAGATTTTATGATAAACTGCCAAAGAGAAAAAACAAATATCAATAATCTATTACAGAGCAGACACTCAAAACAGGGATACTTGAAAGAAAATTGTCCAATCACAACATTTTCTGAAAACAAATGATTCTCAAGTTTTTTGGCAAACAGCAAGGGACATGGACGACACCTTAATATGGTAATGGATTATCGCAAACAGTTAGAGAAGCGAAAAATATCGGTAATACATGTACAGGCCTTCCGGTTTGCTGTCACAGAAAAATTTAAAATAACTGCAGCTTAAATTTGAGTTTCACCTATCCTAGCACAGGCACTGCATTTCACCAACAATGCAAAACAAATACAAAGCCCAAAAGCTGAGGCGAAGGGCAAAGAAGCACCCTTTAACAATATAAAATTTTGTTTGTCACTGAACATCCTCTTCAGTGGATTATAAGATGCTTGTTACAGTGAGTGAGAATTGATTTTTTGTCCTTGATGTTACAAGTGAGCAAGGTGGAAAGCTATAAAGATGACACTATAAAATAATTATTTCTGAGATGTTACAGATGAATCTCCATTCGCTATGACTGCTTCAAAACCTAATGACAGCTCTGCGGATAGGTACAAAGCACAGCTCTGGACATGCAGCTTACTTAAATAAATATGAAATCCTAAAAGATGTCCCAGGAGGACTATAGCGAGAAGCAGCAGTCCTGCCACAACTCCAAGTATTGATGCAAATAATTCATCTGATGAGACGGCAACAAATATTTTGAATTCTCCTCCTATAGGATAAGAGAAAGAAAAATATCTTTAAGGCAAATACATTCAATAGATACTCCGACGGAGCTGACATCAGTGTTATGATAATTTAATTAACACCTTATTAGGGAGATTAAAAGTCACATTAACAGGACACAGCAAATGTGAATTTGTACCACGTGACCAAGTTTTGGCCTCTATTGTAAGTCATTTACTGTTCATTACTTCTACACAAAAATTAGTAGTTTCATGCCATTTCTGTCCGCAAGAATTGTTCTGAGCTGTTTTTATTTGCCTATTTTCTATTTTGAGAAACTCTCAACATGAATCTGAAGTTTGCTGTTTGCCGTAAACTTGACTGTAAATCTCCCTTTTAATCAAGGTCCCTAAAACAATCAGTAAGAGGGGTCAAATTTTGGTTGCCATTGGATTTCACTTGTCAAAGAGAACATTTAAGTACCCTGCCCAGAATTCTATAATGTCCCATCCAGCCATCGACCATTTTCCTGCCAGGCAAGTAAATTTCGATCTAGCTCTGCTAACAGTGTCTCCTTTTGTAGTGAAATACTTCATTTTTTTATGCCGACTTGTCCTACAAGAAAGGTCCCAGGGAAGTCATCCCCTTGCTATTAAACTCGATCAAGAGGAGGATACAACAACTCTAGACAAGCAAATTCAGGATGTTTAATTTTTCATTGTGTAGGTGTGACCAAGGGTGCTAAAACTTGAAATCTAACCCTTATCGTATCTCCTTCAGGTGCATCCACACCAGAAAATCAAAACCAGAGAGCGGAATTAAGGAGTCCCTTGTCCTGAGGACAAGCTGGAGGAATTCAAGTTATTTTCAAGTTCTATACACACCAGATCACTGGCAACAGTTTATTATGTATCGAATCCTGGGTTATAAGGAAGGCAAAGTGCACCCCCAAATCAGCATTATTTAGTAAGCAGTATTTTACTTTTTTTCTTTGAAAGGTAACATACCTGATAAAGATTTTAAACTGTCTCTTCTTGTAAAAAACGAGACAAAGACATACAAGGTAACTGCAAATACGGACATTGCTAAAACAAATGCACTGGAAATACAGCCGATGAATAACCTATGTAAATGAAAATAAAAAAATAATGACAAAGATATTAGTCACTTTGTTATTGATTTCAATGATCACTTTGTTATGAAGCAACCATCATCAGTTAAACAGTAAACAGGCCCTAGCTATTAACGAATATAATGCTATGTACTGGTGTACATGTACAATGTACAATGTACAATGTTATTAATTACAAGCACAAATTGTCTCAACGCATTTAGGGTTTGTTCCCCTTGGTAAAAGTTGTTGTCGTTTCCTTTTTTAATGGGGATCTCTGCAGTACTTACAACAATAATAATATTATCATTAAAAAGTGAGAATCGAACATTAAATCAAAGAAAATTTTTGTAAAAGTAACTCTATACTGAACAGAAGTTTATTATACTAATGTACATGTATGGTTGAAAATGCAGTTTCACTGAAAGAGCCAACAGTATTGTACTTTGACAAAATTGAACAACAAATCATTGAAACAAGGTACTTACAACTTAGGCAATCCAAAAAATGAAACAGCAAAACCACAAAACACAATTTTAAATGAATTATTGGAAGTGCTAAATACATATTCAAAATTGAATAACATTGGGCTTGATGTGTAAGAAAAGTATCACCAGTACATGAATAAACTCCGCAAACAAACTGGCTCATATGTCACTCTTACATGTATGTCAAACTCAGTCTGTTAACTCTGGACGAGTTAATTGAGTCTGTACAGCAGCCAAATGATATTTGGCTGGGTAGACTATACGGAGACCTTGGTCTTGGCCGGCCTGGAGTCTCTTAGTGACAGGAGAGTAGGAGCTTGTTTACAAGCAATTTATTGCTACTGCACGCCAAATGTCCCCCCTTAAGAACATCATCCCCTCCCCTGCCGCTATTGAGTCTCATTACAGTATAAGGGTCCAACTTCTAAGACGTCAACAAGGTCATACCAGAAGAATTAATGACTTTGTAACTTATAAATTTCAGCCGAATGTATGTAAATGGTTAATTGTATGTGACAATGACCTTCCCCAACAATTCAGGTATTGCTGCAAGTGGGTGAAATAAACAGAATATCTATCTATCTATCTATCTATCTATCTATCTATCTATCTATCTATCTATCTATCTATCTATCTATCTATCTATCTATCTATCTATCTATCTATCTATCTATCTATCTGTCTGTCTATCTATCTGTCTGTCTGTCTGTCTGTCTGTCTGTCTCTCTCTATCTCTCTCTCTATCTATCTATCTATCTATCTATCTGTCTGTCTGTCTGTCTGTCTTTCTGTCTGTCTAGTCTGTCTAGTCTGTCTGTCTGTCTGTCTGTCTGTCTATCTATCTAAATCATCAATTAGGTTCAGCACTTGATTGAAACTGCATTTGGACTGGGTCTATATCATTTACCTGTAATTCTGGCCTCCAACACAATTGTTTAGCCACTTACAGTGGTGATCAAACTCTGATACACACTTGTTGCACACTGAGCAATGCTTGCTCTTAGAACCACTATATCAACAAAACAAAAAAAAAAGAGTAGGGTCAAATAATTATTATTACGATTACATAAATATTCAGGGCTGTCATTACATCCAGGACTGGGGTTTTCCCCTGGCTACTTTTGTATGAAACTAAACAAAAATAAATTATAACCAAAAGAACTTCCTAGCAGTTCAATTATCTGTGTACTAAATCAATATACCCAGCAAGTTGAAACCTTTCCAGCAGATAAATTATTACTAACTGTCAACATAATTTTTGCTCATTTTTTACATAACAGTCTGAGTGCTACTTTTTCAGGTTTGCCAGTCAGGCCGACAAGTTATATGGCCTTGAAATAATGACATAATTTTAAAAGTGAGAGATAGGGTCTTATTTTTAAAGAAAAAAATATATTGTAGCCAGGAGTATTTATTCCCTTCATAAAATCTGCATACCATTATATTGGAGTTGGAGTGATAAGGCACTTAAGTCTCCAAAGATCAGGATTCTAGCTGAATATAATTTGAGTTATCTTATTTTCATTAGTGTACAGAAGTTTTTTTTAAGGTTATAGAAATAAGAACCCAGTTAGGCTAAGAGAAGTTCTTGTATAGAGGGGGCGTAACAAGCAAATTTTAGCCTAACAGGTTTACAAAACCAGGTTCTTATACTTGCACGTTTTTACTGCATCTACATGTTATATTACATAACCTAAAACTACATACTGTACATGAAACAAATCAAAACTTACACATCCACTTGGCAGATATAACAGTGACTATTTTCAATAACATGCTGATGTTGGCTTCTATCAAAAACTGCTTTGCTTTTCTTAGTTCCTCCTCTGATGCTGGGATCTGCAGGGTCAATTGTCAATGCCAGTAGGTGGTAGACAATATGTATACCACAAAAACCACTCGGAATCTTAATTTATGGTCATGGAAAGTATATGTAACATAAATAGTGAGTTTCCTTGTCTATGTGGTTTACCCCATAACACGTGGCCTCAAAGTCAAATCAGTTAGAGTGCTGGGAGAGGTACATGTGAGGGCCATTCCATTAAAAAGCCTAAGTTCAGTGAAGCATAGTTTTACCCCCTGAGAATCACGTAATGTAATGACACAGTCCAACCCTCAGAAATAACCCATTTTGTTCTTTCCCTCCTCAGAGAAAAAGGATTTTTCTTCCATATCCCTCAGAAATATTCCAAAGATCAAGGTGCTGATGCAACACTTCCTCAGAAATAACTTTCAGAGTTCCCCTCAGAAAATCTCACCGATATTACTATTATTATTATTATTATTATTATTATTATTATTATTATCATTATTATTATTATTATTATTGTGAGTTTTTACAGTAGCAGATCGAACATATTTTATTGATAACAATGCTAACTATTAAAATCCTATTTTCAATTAATTCACTTTAAAAAAACCCATTTCGTCAAAACACTATATTTACAATTCCTTCCGTTAAAAAACCCTTAGTTTTGACTAGAAAAAAAATCATTTCATTAAACAAAAATTATTTAAATTAAGAACATTTCATTGTGAGTTTTTTGCTGGGATCAAAAGCATTTTCTTCCAGTTCAGAGGGATTTGAGGAGACTCTCCCTTCTCAGCACTCACAAATAAAGACAATTTAGATTTAATTTCAGTCTTCACTTCAGTGCTAGATACTCAATTGATGTGCATAATGTAGTCCTCCGCAGGCTTTTAAATCCCTATCATTAATTTAGGACCTTAAAATTAGTGAAAATAAACCTCGAAATAAAGTAGAATTATCTCTTAGCCTATTAGACTGAGCAACAACCGTTAAACGCAGTAAGAAGAAAACAGATCCATCAAATTATCGAAAGTTGATAGAGGACATAAAAATTCAGCTTGATAAATAACAAAGATCACAACCACATCGACTATTAATGCCTGTTGTGTACAACAACGGGAAAAGTCGATCGCGTCATAAAGTAGCCAAAATATCACCCGTATCATTAAAGTAAACTTTCAAAAGCTGAAGCGACAGTTTTCATCGAAACCTATAAAGAATTGCGAAAGGTAATGGGAAAGGATACAATAAATCCAGCTGCTCGCCACTCTTTTGGGAGATAGAAGACAATTACACCGAAATATAATACAGAGAAGAAGATAAGAAAAAACCATGCCACAAACTGTAAAGGATGCCACGGACACGACCAGCCATTTATACGTTCCCTTTGCTGTACAGCCACAGACGAAGAAGTCCTGGAAGATGTAGCGGTCCCATCCGCTCCATGAACAGGAGTCATTCTGAAAGTCAAAGATTTTTCCTTCGCGGGTATTCAGAACAATTTTATCTTTGCATATATCAACGGTAGAGAGCTTCCATGAGGCTGGAACATAAAGTGCTCATTTTCCTGGTAATCCTCACGCAAAAATCAGACGATCGAGACCTGCTAACTTGTGAAAAGTTTAACTTTTTCTCGCTGAATGAGCGAACACTTCGTCGCCATGACTGTCAATTGTGAAAGTTGGCGCGGAGGAATGGGCTTATGTTGTTGTCGTGGTGATGAACAAATAAAAAACAGATGAACCTATTGTGATGACGTCATTTAGATCTTTCGATTGCGCGTTTTCAGTGTGAATCTTTTTTTCGAGCTCTTTGGGGGAAATCGTTTGGAAACGTGCGATCCTCAACTGTACATTTCTTTGCATTGTTTATGTTATGACGAGTCAAGGACGATTAGCGATCAGGTGTACGTTTCTTTATATCTTCTGTCTTCGCAGAAAAAGTAGGAAATAGTTCTTCCGTGGAAAAAAAAGTTGTTGGCCAACTCACCCGACTGCGTCCGTTACGTGGATTTCATCTGAAACCGGACTACAGGGGAAACTGGCACATTTTACCCTGGTGCACAGTCATGAAACAACAGACAAGCTTGGTCAAATAAAGATCTACTAAATGGCCAAAAAGCGGAAAACTTGCGGGACTAAAGAGGGAAATCCCGCGCGGGAAAGTTGGGCTCAACTTGCCGGCGCTCCCCATTGCCCGCTCAGGTAGCCAATCAGCTCAGTATCCGGTTCATCTTGCCCGCTTTTAGATTCAAACATATTTAAATTACATGTAATATAAGCTGTGAATATGCGTTAATGACCAAGAACTAGGCCGATATCCAGTAATCTTGACTGAACAAGCTTTTTCAATAAAGGATAGTTTTTTTTTGTTGCAGGACCAACGCGGGAAATCCAGGCGAGTAAGATTAGTTCATCTTACCTTCTCTTAGCCAATCAGCCACAAGGCTAGCTTCATCTTGCTCGCTCGCGTATTCAGCCATAAACCAGCTGGTCTGCGCACATGTCATAGCATGATATTATCGATTATTGAGCCCTCAGCATATTATCGTCACTTTGTATGCGCAATTCTAATGATTTTCGTACCCCAATTCTCCGTACTAGCATTTTTTGCGCATTCATCGTAGCATATCCTTTAAACCCACGGGATAGAAAAACAAAAATTGCTAAAATGATTTTTGCTCAGTTTTATTGCGGAACTGGTTGACTTAATTTGGTTGGCAATGACTTTTATTGATATTTGATCAGAAGTAAGCCGGAAACTGAGAAATTAGGCTTTTATCTAGCATATGTCAGAACAAAACATTTTTAATCATATGCTAAGTGGTTTTATCTTAAATGTTTACTGCTCAGGATTGGTTATCATGAAAAAAGTGACGAGATGATTTAAGCTTATCAAAAATTTGACCATTTCTGAAAAGCAGCTAGCAGGATTTTAGTCGAGGGATCCATGCGCTGGGAAGGTCAGTCAAATTAACTATCTGAGCAAGTCAGTCTTTTGAATGAACCAATGGGTATGGGGTAACACACACAGAACTATTCACTACCCTGTGTAGTCGCGAGATTTTTAGATTTACAGTTTTTAGTACAGTCCTTAATCTTAGCGAACGACTCTGACGCTTTGAAGAATATACTACATCGTCAAATAAGCGGTTTGTCGAGCTTATACGTACCTGCAAGTAGTGAGCGAGTTAAGATCGGGCGACAATGAGATTAGCTTAATACCCGGGGCAAGAGCCATACCTCGCACAACTCGCTTTTGGTAGAATAATCATTTCAAGTTCCGCTGAAAAGGATTTGAAAACAGCTGTTTAAGAACACGGAGACGTCGCTCAAGAAAAGCAGTTTTACTTTATGTAAAAAACAGGCCCCCCAGGTTTAATCAATTTTATTGATATGTCATGTGGGCCCTGATCATGGTCACACTGAAGCAAATTTTAATTTTTAGTTGATCCGTCAAACTAAGTGACGAAATTTAACAAAACCTGACGAAAAAGTTGAGAAATTTTGATCTTAAAAAATCGGTAAGCCTGAGATTTATGTGTCATCTCCGGTACAATCAACTTAAAGGACGAAATTTATAGGCAACACTTACGCTGCATATGTAGTTTTGATAGGTTTCTGTAAGTATGGGGGTGATTTACTGATTTAAGAACTAGTGTTCATAAGGAATTATAGAGACCAACTTAAAGTTACTCGTGTCTCTATCATAAGGCCTTTTATAAGTGAGAAATTTTGCAAAAAGATTCGTGTTTTCTCGTTATAATTAATGTTTACTTAACGAGTCTGTTGTTTACCTACGATGGCCGGTTATTTTTGAAAGAGGTATTCTCTCTCCCCAGACGTTCGTAATCATAAACAAGAAATGTAAGCTTAGTAAAATACACTAAAAAGAAAAAACAATTAAAGTTACCGGTTACTATTTAAAATAATTTTAATGAGGCCAGTAGCAAGAGCTCCCGCTAGAAGGCTATAAATTTTCAAATAAAAGTAGTAATAGAAGAAAAATCCAGTTTTTTTACTTGTGATGGGAAGAGTCCAGTCGTTAAAGTGTTAAAACGGATGCAGATTATTAAAACTAAGACAGAGTTTTGAAACTTTGTACTGTGTAAGTTTGTACAGAACTGCGTTTTAGCCGTTAAATGAACTGAAAAAAATCCTGATTTCTTTCAGACGTTCAAAGAGATACAATTTCGATATTATTATACTGAAGCATATAGTCGTATATAAAGAAAAAGTAATCCGACAGTTCATGAAATGTTGTCGTAAAAACCTCTTTCGAGATCAGACTGCTCCAGGTATTTGTTGGTCATCTGCCACCGCGGGCCACTGTAGCAAAACTTCGAACAGCTATTGAATCAAATCTCAGGGCTGTTTACATCGAGGGAGGAAGATCCTAGCACCAGGAAGACCCTAGTCGTTTGGTTTACACTTTACTTGCAGAAATCGCGGTCCGTGAGGTAAACGATTGCAGTAAGCGACCCGTCGCCATTTTTGTGTGGTTTGTCCCTAGTAAGGAACTTCCTAGCGAAAGCGATTTACATGGTGTTAGAATCTTCATAGACAGGATCTTCCTACCTCAGCTACGAAGATCGTAGCGCTAGGGACAACGACAACTTTATGCATGTAACATGGGCTCCTGTGTAATATAAACTGAATATAGAAAACGTAGGGTGTGCAGGATGATCCGAGCCTTCTAGGATCTTCCTGGTGTTCAGGGGATCTTCAGTCCCTCCATGTAAACAGCCCCTAACAGGTCCTTTTTAATAGTCGGAAACGACTACGATCTCATCAATTGCGCGCCTCATGTAAGAAAATCAAGGAGAGTCTTGGATTCTGGATTCCAAGCCGTGGATTCCGGATTGCAGGTACCGGATTCCACTATTCGTCAGTAGAACTTCCAGTCGTAACTGGGATTCCAGATTCCTTGAGCTGTACTCCGGATTCCAAAACCCAGGATTACCGATTCCATAAGCAAAGACTTCTTCCGTTTTTTCAAGTTTCCAATGATTCACTGAGTTGCACTGCTTGTGAGAGGCCGTCCATCCTTCCTCGAATCCCATGCAATTTACCCTAAACAAACGTTACAACGGAGAAAGTTGTACGTGTGGACCCTGTAAATATATTTTACTATAACTTGGGCGAAAAGTGTCATTTTTTCGTTATTCCGCAGGGAATGCCCTATATTTAGGGGTTCGCTATATCAGAGTTTCTTTAGTCGACAAGAAATCTTCTGATACAGTAAAAACGCTAGGGCAAGTAAGATAAGTCAACATTCAGGATCCTTTTTGGAAACATAGGTGTGCCTTACTACTTCAACTGCTACATAATGGTAATCAGATTTTACTAATAAATAAAGCTGAATACCGGTATATACCCATAGCTACTATGTATTAAAATAAAATAGCCGAAATTTGTGCCTTAAATTAGTATTTTATATGTAAGAACATGTTTGAATTAAACTGGGAAAATGCAGGCGATAAAGCGGGCTCAAGGTGGCCACAAATTAAATCACTGCTAAAATTTGTTTCCTGTGGTGACATGATAACAGCGATACACAAATGGCCATCTATCAAAACTCAAAGGAAGTTTGTACTTCTCCGCTTACCATTAAACATTTGATGCATATTTTATTAGTGCTAAAAAGACATTTTTAGAATGTGTATGTCGTTTTTATTTTTTGACAATTTATCGTCTAATTTCAAGATTTATCTCACAAATTCATGATATACGACTGAAATTAAAATCTTTATTTGGACCAAACAATTATAAGATAATATAAAGAATGCTCTTTTTTTCTTACTTTTTTTTCACTACTGGTTGACACGTGAAAAAAGGGCTTTTAAGTGAAAATTGAACGATCAAAGTTTATCTTTCGTTTCAGCATTAGAGCGTTGCTTTCGATTAGGAAACATTAACCAAAATCTAACAAAAACCAATTAGGACAGCCTAATTTAATATGTAACTAACTTCTAAACGCATTGAATTGAATTTCCCCATAATTTCCCCATTCTCCCAGAAAGTTTTGCCAAAAACAATTGTAACTAAAACAAGGCCTGTTTTTGAATATTTTTGGGGAGCAGCTGCAGTGTAAGAAAGAAGGATAGAAATCAGCTAAAGAAAGATTGTTTTCAGCAGAATCAATTTCTAGCTTTCTTATCGTGATTGTACTGTTAAACATTGGGACATGAAAAGTGTTTGAAAAAAAAAAACACGTTTAAGATACGGTGAAAAAAAAAAGCATTAGGCAGATTAAGGGCTTGTAAAATCTTTCCTTTTTTAAGGTGTACTTGAGGCATTAAACCAAACTGTTCAACAAAATCCAAAATTATTTTTATCCATTTATGATAGAGTGTTACGATGTTATTACACTTAACGTACGTACTTAATATGCAGTCTGTAAAGAATGATATAAAAACGTACTCCGGATTCACAATAATCACAATTTTCTTCCAGTGTT